GTTTGTTTTTAGAAGGCTACATAAATGATTTCTCTAAATAGTTGAGAGATCTTGAAACCACCAAAAATATAGCCACCTACACACGCCACCATAATTAGTGCAACCTACACTTCCCTGGGCCCATTTTAAATTTTTGACACTTATAGTTTGACACAAGTTGACAAGTGACACCAACTATTAGTGCAATCTACATTTCTCACTTATGGAAAATGTATGTTTTAGCCAATCAATGGGTCAGACAGACATACACAGGTGCACACAAGGTAGTGTACCGGCACATTATTTCCGTGGGTCTTTGAATATAGTATTATATCAGTAGAAACACAAATGCTCTTCTAAAAGCTTGGTCTGGCTTGGTTTGTGCTGAGACAATTTAGGTGCGTATTTTGCGACATCAATAGGTGTATACGGCCCCGTTGCCCTGAATAGAATATCGAGTTGCTTGTAGTCGCGAGAATTTTCAGAGCTGCGCAGTTTGTATTTATGTTTTAACTCATACTAGTGTGAGAAGACTATCCAAGATAAGAACATATTCATATATAAAAATACTGAAATGCACACCACACTATTGCGACAAACATTCCCAATTCATTTTTACCTCTCAACGAGTGCTGACTCGATAGTTTGTTGCCATGTTGGCGTCGTGGTATCTTCCAGGAACTAGCTAGTAAAGTATTGCTCAAGTAAACATTGAGGGTTAAACTTCAGTCCAGTGCAGTTTGTATTTATGTTTTATTTTTAAAATTAAGGTGGGAAGTGTAGCTGGCATTTCCCACCTGTAGTGGGTGGGAAGTGTGGTGGCGTGTCTTATTTAATATTGGTTTTTAAGTTGTGTAGTGTATGTAGTGAAGAAAAAAACCCTAAGTATGAGTAGGGGGAATTGTAGGTGGCACTAATTGTGGTGGCGTGTTTTATTTAATATTAGTTTTTTTAAAGTTGTGTAGTGTATGTAGTAAAAAAACAACAAAAATCGAAGTATGAGTAGGTGGGAAGTGTAGGTTGCAATAATTATGGTGGCGTGTGTAGGTGGCTAGAATCGTAGGTGGCGTGTGTAGGTGGCTAGAATCGTAGGTGGCGTGTGTAGGTGGCTAGAATCGTAGGTGGCGTGTGTAGGTGGCTAGAATCGTAGGTGGCGTGTGTAGGTGACTATATTTTTGGTGGTTTCAAGATTTCTCTAAATAGTTGTTGTATTTTTGCATAGCCTTCTTCTCTACGAAAAAAATATATAAAAATACAATTTTTTTTGTTTGTTTATTTTATAGAGCATATTTCATAGCCGTCTTCTCATATTCATAAATAGCAGAACAAATTTGTTTTTACAAAAATTGTAGGAGTCGGCAACTCCTAATGGGGAAAATTCGGGATTCGCGGGGGAATCCGAATTTTGGATTGTTTTTGGGTCTGGGACCATTCTCGAAATTTCAGTGCACTATGAATTGTGGCCAATGAATTTTGAAGAGTTATCACCACATGACCCTTGCGAAACGACTAAACGTAGAATTAATGAGAAATCGCGAATAGGTTAGAGCTTAAAGTTCGGAGACATTACGTGACATTTAGGCTTAGTTGT